TAAAAAAAAGCCAATTTTTATGTTTATAAAATATTTTGAATGAAAAATATTAAAATATGTACAAAATAAACCATTTTGAACACTCTTTTTTATTATTTATAAAAAAACTATAGTTCTGGCATAAACAATGTTAAATTTTAACTGACTTAATTTTGCGAACGCATCTTTTTTATTTACATGGATATCTTAAGGTCAGTTTTTGCACTAATGTTGCTAATGCACCATTTGAGCGAAAAAAAAATTGTTAAGGAAAAATATTCTGTTAGCGAACCCTTTGTTAAATATTTCGAATATCACCACTGTATATAATATAGTAAAGTATTGTAATTGTGTCAAATTTGATCCTCCAGGTTTTTTTGCAAATCTTGATATTTGAGACTCCTGAACAAAATAAAATTCTGGTTGCATGGTGTGTGTGTTGGCATCTATTTCATTTAATATCTCAGAATGGGTTAAATATTAAGAAAAGAAATTTGGCAAGGTATCTTGTACATAAAGGGCTTTCATGCTATTAAATTTTGGTTGTTAAAGGGGGAGATAGAGGGTTCATTACTCATATTTTAGATGTGGTTGGACTTAAAACTTTACTCATTATTAGCATTTACAATTTTTAAAAAAACTCATACCTATCCTCAAAATTAAGCCCTTTGCTTTTTTATAATAATTAATAATATAAAAGATATTTTTAATAAAATCTCATAGCAGATGGCACCACACACATTTTTTCTAAATGTGTCTTACTGTTTCTTAAACAAATATTTTTGCCAGAAAAGTTATGCAACTTGTTACTGGATTTTTTAAAAATTCATATTGTTAACAGAATAAATTCTTTTTAAAACGTTTAGTACATCTTTTATGTGAGTATATACCACAACCAAAACTTGTGAAACAGTGTACTGTACTATATTTTTTGTTTTTGTTGACAAAGAACTCTTTCACAACTCTCCTTGAATAATGTATAACCTTGGTTAGATGGAACTCAGATAATCAGGATTCTACTGTGTTTCTGACGATATACTTTGTAGTCTTACAAAGAAATAATATATTGAAAAGGCAAACATAACTACATAGAAAATTGAATTACTTCTACTACAAAAATCATGATTGTAAAACCTGGTTCTCAATACTGTTTATTCTGTTCACATATTTATGCATGCCAAAATAACCAATCACAATGAATTAAACATTAGTGTTTAGCCAATGACATAAACTGATTTAACTTTTAGTAGTAAAAGTGTTTTTGCTCTTAGTTACATGCTATTTTATAGAGAGTGAAATTGTGCATTTTTTTGAAGAACAATCTGCATGAAATACATCACTGGACCCAAGACAGTTCTTTTTGATACAAACAATACTTTATTGTAAAAAATATTTAAAAATCTAGGGCAAAATATATATTTAAAAAAATGTATAAATATACACCATTGAAGACTTATACAAAAAGAATGGAGCTTTTAAGCAATTTACATAAATATAGATGGGGAAAAGCTATAAAGAAAAGCTCTGCTATGCATTGACTGTGTTCCAGTGATTGAAAAAGGTAAATAATTCTAATGTAAATTCAACAAACATTTTCGATCTTACACAAGATTTGCTTCAGGCCAACATTCTAAATTACTGGATTGTAAAGGTTTTGTTTGATGTACTTAGACATCAATCCAGCTATCAGGAAGAAGGTAATTTTGATTGTGAAAGGATTTTTAAAAGATTTAAAAAGCTTTTCTTTTTGCATAAGTCTTCATTGTTGTATTTATACACTTTTAAAATATTCTATTGGTCTGTCATGTTTTAGATATGTGTCAACTCACATATGGGTTTACTTGACCAACTCATATATGAGGTTTAAAATAGCTTAAAAACATTGTTGTCATAGTATCATATACTTACAGAACCAGGCTTAATGTATAATAAATGATATTTGAAGTAAATACTTGTAGTTCAAAACTGAAACTAATATATATTTATAATACCTTTTTAAATATAAATTACTTCAAAAACATTAAGAAAGAAACTTCTTTTCACTATACATACAGAGTCTTCCAAAAAAATGCTACCATTTAAAATTATTGTACTTATGTTAATTATTATTCAAGAACATTGTAACATACATTAAAACATTGGAGAATCATCCAAGTTTTACATTTACCCATTACAATCTCTTAATGCATGTACCTCATGTCCCACGATACACATCTGACTGATACTCTAATCCTTCCTATGCTCGTTTCGACATATCCATTGTCACTCCTCCCAAAGCAACCAAAATTCTACATCTCCTGCAGCTCCACAGCTGTATTATGCACTCTTGTAGATTACTTATGTTGTGCATTGATCAATGATTCCAATTTTGCAAACTGCAGAATGCAAAACACCTCTGTTTCAAAGTTGCCATTTTCATTTACCACACTTCCTAGAAATAGTGGATGATGATATGTTTGAACGCAGAAGATGAAGCTCAGACGATTAGTCTATCAATTGGTGTATGTCGCAAACTTCTCAGATAATAATTAACATAATTACAGTAATTTAAAATGGTAGCATTCGTTTTGGAAGACCCTGGTAGTTTTCATACTTGAATAATATAAAACAAACTGATCCTATCAATTATGAAATTTATCCCAGAAGTTTCAAGAATGCAGACTTAATAAAAAAGAAAAAGTCTGTTTCAATGGTTCTGTTAGGCAATTAGAATCAAAAAAATAAATTTGATTATAAATAAAATCAGAATATACTTACTTGTTCATACAAATCTTTACACTGATCAGTTACACTGGCTTTTGCAGTAAAGGAATCGGTAGGAATTGTTGTATTCAAAGCATGAATTATGTTATCATCGATGCGTCTCATTTTCTTTAATATTTCCTAAATGAGTAAATATACAAATAATTAAATTTTAGATTTTAGAATTCTAATTTTATTTATAATTATGTTAAACCATTAATTCAATACTTAAGAAAAATATAAAAAGTTATCAAGGAAGAGATTGACTGTAAGGTTGTCTGGTTCGTGTTTGGTCATATTTAATGACATTCATTGGGTTCGATGTTCCAAATTTTCAAATACGAATATTTTAAAATACTTGTGGTAATAGAACAAAACAGTTTCTTTCCAGTTTAATAAATCTTTTTTGCTGCTGTACAAGGTTGTGTGTAAATGATTTATCATCTAAATAAAAGATTTTATTCTTTCATTATATATATCTACAATTTATAAATCTATGAACAACTCAAAATATTATAAAATTAGTCTATTTTAAGTATTAATTAAAATTTTTATAGAGTCAAATATATGGCTGCTTTGTAAAAATAATATCTAAACATTCTCAAAAGCTGAAACCATTGATTAGAAACACTTCACACCTCTTATACTTACTATAGCACATAAAATTTAACTTTGGTGGGCACTCCTTTTAGATTCTGAGAGGATGTTTTGTGACTATTACACCACATATGTAATATCACTTCATATCCTCCAATAGTTAGTGTTTTTTTGAAAATATTGATAAATAAGAGGGAATTATTGTTAGAACTTTTTATTAAATGAATGCAGTTGTAAAGCATTTATATAATTAAAAATAAGTCATTCCATTTCAGTCTGTTGCTTCCCTTTACATCTAGCACATTTAGTAATTATATAACTTTTTTTTAAAAATTATTACCACATCTCTTTACTGATGAATTTTGTTCTACTATTCTTATTTCCTAAAAAAGTCATCTGTCTAATTAGCCAATTGTTCTGACTCATTGCTCTGATTATCTTGTATAATCTCCTGATCTTCTGACTCAGATTTAGTGTCATAATCAGTCTTTTATAACATTTCTCTTTCTTCTTATAAGTCTCTTGACAACTTGTTCTAAAGTATCAAACTCTTTCTGGGTCAAAGTTGTATAGGAGTGAGAAATATCACAAAAATCTAGCCATTTGAAAAGCTGTTTGGTACATAAAACTTATAACATTGTTATAATATTTAACTAAACTAAATTATATTTACATCACTAGGCACATAGCAGCAAGTACCCCACAGATACAGTATCATTTAATTCAAAGCTGAAAAACAACAAAACAGGTAAAAGGAGAAAAACCATTTGAAATATAGATGGTGACAAATGCTATAAAAAGAGAATAACAAAGTGCACAACTGCACCACTTATGTATAATATCTTAAACACGACATTATCGAAATTATGCAACAATTTGCCGAGGGCATACCCTCCAAAGGGTTAATGAACACGAATGTTTTCAGCCACTTTAAGAGACATTCATCATGCAAAAGAATCATTTTTGTATATTGAACAAGATATAAAATATTTTTTTATACAAAGTATACAAATGTGAAAAATAATTGTATCAATTGAAATTATGGCAATTAAAATATTACAAAAACAATTTATAATGATAGAGTACATAATGTTATTTTTAATAATTGAGACAATTTATATTAAAAAATTAAAATCCTTTTCTAAAAATTATCATATCATTAATTGTGTTAGCTTNATAATAATAAGTTTCAATGAAAATGATAAAATGTAAATTTAATTTTATCATAACGAGTTTGCTTGAATTTCCTTTCTTCTGAGATCGCAACAATGTGCGACGGGTAAGCTAGTTGACTATAATACTAAGCTCTGACATCTTAAGTGGGGTAAGGCCACCTGCATCAATAATAAAATTATCGACAGTCAGGATCTTGAATGCAACGTTCAATATGCTTTAACTAAACACCCAGACACTCCTAATAAGATCAACTTCTACCAACCTGATCATGTGGATATAGAAATCTTTACTGATGGATTCAAAGAAAATTTCAATATAGGCAGTGCCTTTGTTGCTTTCCACAAACAACGAGGAGATCGTCTCTGGTCAGCACAGGTTGGGTGATCACTGTACTGTTCTCCAAGCCAAGATGTTCGCCATCAGGTCGGCCGTGGTCTGATCTGTCTCCAACTTTGCAGGCAAATCTGTGGCCATCATCTCAGACAGTGCATCTTCAATCTCCCTCATAAAAAATCATTCCTGTCATCCCATCACAGATATACATGACACTATCAACATTCCTGCAATTTTTTCTTCATCTACTGGACATGAGCTCACCAGGGCACTCTTGGTAACGAGCGTGCTGATGCCTTGGCCAAATCTGCTAGTGATGACCCTAACCTTTCAGTCGCCTATAATAAAATTAACAGCAACACTGTCAAAAACCTACTATGGAAGAACCTTCTTGTGACTTGGCAACAGGAATGGGATAATCATAACCACCCAGTTACACACAGATTCATCCCTAACATTGAGAGTTTTCTCCTTAATAAATGGTACATTCCAGGTCACCGCAACAGCCAGTTTCTCACCGGCCATGATAGATTTCAGTCATACTTGGCTAGATTTGTCAATGCCCCTAGCTCTAACTGCTCCCTCTGTGGTACTAGTGACAGCAATCTCCATTATATCTTTGATTGTCCCATGCTGGAGCTGGAGAGGCACTATTTAAAGTCCACCATTGAAGCACACAGGTACAGCTGGCCTAGTGACTGCTACAGTTTCTTCAACCACCAAGACTCTTACGTCGCTTTTCTTGTGCTCATAAACAACTACTTTGTTCGTACCACTGTCACTGCGTACGTCTAACTGCCTCACATGCCTGCAGGCCATTCTCCTACATCTGTTTTCTGCAACGTTGTCGTCACATGCACCTAACCTGTAACCATGTCCTCAGTGCATTGTAGTGATGTCCTTTATCCCTGAGTAAACTTGTGTATATTTATTTACTCTGTATAGCAACATCATTACTTTTCTCTATTATGTTGTGTTACTTTAATTACTTAATTTCTCTTGATATTGTACGTTAAATTTACACATCCACACTAATTACTTTATTTGTATTTGCAATCTCTGTATATCATTTACCAATGTATCAAAACTTTACTTCTGTATTTTATATTACACTTGTTTTTATTTTGCTTACATTATATTGTATATATTTGTAAATAACTTTCTCTTTTTATTATTATTATTTTTTAATTTATATTATCTCACTCATATTATGTATCCATGTATTTCTATATATCTAGTACCATCTCTAACTGGGTTATACATCCGTGGCCCCCAGTATTTACTATACTCCAGTATGTTACAATAAAATATCTATCTATCTATCTGTACTGTAATTATGTTAATTATCATCTAAGAAATATGCAATGTACACCAATCAATAGAGTAATTGTTTGAGTTTTGTCTCCTGTCTGCATTCGAACATCTCGTCTGCTAACTCTAGGAAGTGTTGTAAATGAAAGTGACAACTCTGCAACCATGGGCACAGCAAAGAAGGGGCATGGGTGGGCCCGGCCCTCCCCAGTTAGCCTGGTGCCCCTCCTCAGAAAAACACGATTCAAAATTATTAAATCCAATCAATCGATCAATTATATTTAAGTCAAAACCAAGCAAGCATAAGAAGATACACTGAAAGCAAAAACAAATGATTTAATAGTGAACTGCTGCGCCATCCAGATTTGGTTGCAGTCATAAGATTGTAGCGTTTATTAATTTGAAACAAAATAATTATTCACCCATTTAACAAATTGAATAAATTTTGTTGTTGAATATTAAAAATATTAGGATCAATTTTAAATGACAGTTTTCTACATCGTAACACTTAAGTATGTCAAGCGGCCTGATGAGCATATGCCAATCATACCAAAAAGTGCTAAAATGGCAGCACTGCTGCACACACACTCTTGTTCTATCTGACGGGCTCAAACCGTGGCACGCTCAGACGCGCAAACCTGAAGGAACCAGTTGGTTTTATACTACGTACAACGAATAAACTTAGGTTAGGTTAACATCAAGAGGAAGAAATTGTTTAAAACAGAGAATACTTGGCTAAACTTATTGTTATAATACCGAACCTTGTTCATCAGGGTTTGTCTTTGAGATGGCACCGGGAAAATGCATCTTCTAAAAATAGAGGTAATTTCTTGGAAATTGCTCAACTTTTTTTGTAAATATGAAAATTTTTACTCCACTTTGAAAAACATTACAACTACTGCAGCCCAGATATCCAGAATGAAATAATTGAAATGATATTGAACCTCATTCTAGAAGAAATTGTTGAAGAAGCTAAAGCATGTGGCTTTTTTTCTTTAAGTGTGGAAGAGGCCAGATGCTTTAAACTGGAACAATTGTCAATGACCATAAGATACGTGAATGGTTTAGACACAGTCGAAAGATTTATAGCTTTTACAAATTGTTCCATCTCCAGAGATGCACAAGGACTGGCTACATTAATTTTAGACACATTGAATAAACACCATTTGGATGATGTTCCAATTCTTGCACAATCTTATGATGGTGCTAGCGTCATGTCTGGTAAAAATCGAGGTCTACAGGAGATTATCAAAGAAACTCATCCTCAAGCAATTTACATCCATTGGCTTAGCACAAACTAAATCTCATGGTTGTTGACTCATACGCAAATGTTTCACTAGCAAAGACATTTTTTAACGGCCTTGAAGCTTTGTATATTCACTTTGCACAACCTGGTCATCATGCAAGCCTGCAAAAATTACAATGCACTCTCAGAATCCATACCAGTCATGAAATGGGAAGTCTCAGTACTACCAGATGGAGTTGTTGCTATTAAAACTGCCAAACAGAACTGACAAATTATGAGGCAATTGACTTTGGAAAAAGAGATCACTGAGAATCGTGACAAGCACACAGTGGAAGCACTTGGATTACTAAATATTATTACGAAGCCAGAGTTCATTGCTTCCTTACACACATTTCACACAGTTCTCGCTATAGTGAATGTAGTGAGTAAATTTTTCCAGACTCAAAATGCCACTTTTAGTCAGGCTAGTGACCTCATA